ATCCCCATCTCAAAGGTGCATATAGCGTTGTTGGAGGGTGTGTGGATGTGTTTCTCCATTGGATCTCGTGAATTCGGTTGGTGTTGGTCTTTGGTGGATCTGTTTGGATCCAATCTCCGTGTGTCTTTGTTTGTATGTTTACTTGTTTGACCCTTCCGATCTACAACTCTTTTCATTAGTGATGTTTGCCATTCTAATGCTGGTCATGTGGGGTCTTAGCACGAGGACTTTCAGACTATCTACTACAACAAGGTTTACCCAAACCCAATGAGGAAGGGGCAATGACGATGACACATCTTCGGCTCACTTTAGTGTTGGTAGTCGTCGCTAGGTGGTCCATGAACTAGGTTGTAATTATTGTTACCTCTTGTGTTTTCTGTAATATCATAATTGATTATGAATAGTGTGGAAATTCTGGGGGTTGGAGAGAAAGAGATCAGTGGTCCACAAGATCTCGCAAGATGTGATGATCTCATCAGCGACGAGATCAGAAGACTTCTGATTCCCTGCTTGAACTCCAAGAGAAGTATATAATGAGTTTCATGCATGTATGGAACATTCATCAACTAAAATGTAGGCCATACCAGCTAAACCACCGTAAAAAAATTGTTTACTAGTTTCACCGTCCGGAAATAACTGTCACTCAAATGGATGTATTTAACACAAAAATACGTCTAGATACATCCATTTAAGCGACAATTATTTTTAGAGGGAGTAGTTCTTTCTATTGCAGTATTACTGTGGGAGGAGCAATTACCAATGTAATAGCATCGGGTTTGTGGTGGATGCTGCAGGTCGACTCTTGTCGGTGTGGATTACCAGCGACCATGTCCGTCTACAGTAATGGAAGTTGTCTATGGTGGAATTGACACCTCACCCATTTTTTTCGAGGAACCGATAGGAGCACTGCCTTTTCATTTCAGACGAAAAGAAGGGTTTATGTACAAAGATGACAGGTTTTTCCGGGGAAACCTGACGAAACCCTATAAGGACCGTTGTGTTACGCTAAGTGAACCAAATCACCCAATACCGGTTGCCACTTGTGCCCTGCCAAAGGCACAAGCCCACATTCTTATGTTGTCGAGCGCGATGGCCGCCACCTCCAGATGAGTGAGGCGGGTTCTAATGAATACCCGGCGGTTGCGCTCCTTCCAGATATTCCAAATGGTGTAGAGGAAGTGACCGCTACGCCGGCGTCTTTCGTCCTTGGACAGGGGACAGATGAGTAGATCCCACCAGTCGGAGACTCCCATGGGAGGCGAAATTGTCATCGTGTTCGTCGGCGCCTCCCCGGTCCATGCCTGAACATGCGACCAAACCGCAATCGCAAATGGACAGCCTTTGCATAGGTGATTTGCCGTCTCCGATGCTCCCAGACACGGCGGGCATGTAGGATCGTGCGGCCATCCGCGAATAGCGAGCATGTCGGCCGTGAGGATCTTGCCATGGAGCACCAGCCAGGAAAAGAGATTGCATTTGGGTTCGGCGTGTGCCTCCCAAATCTTCGTCGGCGAGAACCTGGGGAAGGAGCCGGAGAATTGGGTTGTATATGCCGAAGCCGCGGAGTAGATTCCATTTGTAGTCGAACGCCAGGAGATGGAGTCCTCCCTGTCTGTAGACAGTGTAGCCTGGGAGGTCAGTGATGCAATCGAGATGAATTCCTACAGGTGTATGGGGGGCTGAAGGCGGGCGACCGATCTGATCCAGTTATCATCGTGCAACTCCTTGGACATTGTTCTCTGCTTTCTTGTGGTGATTTTGTATAATCCGGGAGCCAGCATCCTAAGGGGACCCTTTCCGGTCCAGTCATCATGCCAGAACAAAGCTTTGTGGCCGTTACCCAGCACGATGGAGGTGGAAGCTCTGAATAGCGCCATATCCGAGTCGTCGCAGGTTAGGGCAGAGCCCACCCACTGACGGTCAGGGTCGATCCACATTAGCCATGGCCAGCGCAAGCGGAGAGCCCGACCAAACCTCTCTAGGTCTGTGATTCCCAGCCCACCTAGGGCCTTCGACCTGCACATCGTCTTCCAGTTTACCAGGGAGTGCCCTCCAGTCGCATTCTCGGAATTGTCGCCTAGCCATATGAAGTTGCGAGAGATCTTGCTAAGCTTATGGTTGGCCCACGCCGGAAGAGGGAGCGCAGTGAGATGATGTGTGGCCATGGCGCATAGGACTGACTTTGCCAAGGAGACCCTTCCCGGCCTCGCAAGGTTCTTTCCCTTCCACCCCGGAATCTTGCCCATTGCTTTGTCTATGAGAGGTTGCAGATGAACCCGCTTGAGCCTTGAGGTATGCAGGGGAAGGCCCAAGTACTTAGTT